ATTATGAATAATTGTTAATACTATCTTTCTTCTCTTATTATACTTTTAATTCCATTCATCTATTCTTTCTTTTATTTATTTTCTTATTTGTGTTTTACTTTCTTATTTCTTTTTATCACAACATTTTTTATTTCTTTTATTTCTTTATTCAACTTATTCAACTTATTCAATCTTTTCTTCTTTTCTATTTATATTATTTCTTTTATCTCTCAATGCTTATTTATTGTTTATTTTCATTAGTTTATTTTCATTTCTGAATATTAACATTCTTTCTCTATTTCAATCCATTATTCTTTTGTTATTATCAATTTTTGTCTCATTTTCTTGTCAATATAGTTGTCATTTATTTATCTCATTTATTTTTGATTTCATTGACTATTTCATTGAGAATATATTGTTTTAATCATCTGCGTTGTTAAACATCATTGCGTTATTGTTAAATATTGCACTTATCATTTTTTTCAATATTGTCATTCTTTCATTTTGATAATTCTTCAAATATAATTGTTTGTAATTATTATAATTGTTTTGTGGTATTTGGTATATAACGAATTCCTCTTCATAAAAATACAAATGAAGTGAAAAATTACATAATGCTATGAATAATATTCATTTAATTTTTATACTTTCATTTATTCTTTATCATATCACTCTTTGTATTTCTTATTTATTCAATTGTTTCGTCTTTAGCATCTTGTATTATATTCATTTGATTTTCATTTAAATTGGTTAGAATAGTAATTCACATTAAATACTATGAAATTCTTTTATTCATAATGAATAAAATAAAATCACATTAAATCAAATACAATTTATGTTGAAATAGAAATAAAATACATTTGTCATTTTATTCTTTTATTTATTCTTTCTTTTGATATATTTCTATTATTTCTTGTTTAATTATTTTCTTATATTTCTTTTTATCATTTTATTCATTTCTTTATTTCTTATTCTTTTATTCTTGATTTATATGATTTCTATTTATTATATCTTATTTGTTATCTTCTTATATTATTCATGTCATATCTTTTTTGTTTTGTATTTTTTCTTTCATTTATTTCTTATTTTCTTTTATGTTTATTTGTTTCATTTCTTCTTTATTAACACTTATATTATCTTATATTTGTTTCTATCATTTTTATCATTTGGTGTTTTATTATTTTAAGTGTTAAACTTGTCATTTTATTATTCATGTATTTTTATTCTTTATTTTATTATTTCTTATTAATCATTTATTGTTTTTATATTTTCATTTCGTTTATATTTCATCGTGTATGATTCTATTATTTTCTTTATTCTATCTTTTTCTTATTTCTTTTATTCTTATCATACTATTCAATATGTTTTTTATTATGTCATTCATTCAAAATCAATTAACATTATGAAATATGATATATAACAAATAACAAAGAATAAGAAATGATAAAAATGATGTGATATTCAATGAAATAAATGATAATTATAAATAAATCATATCAAATAATGATGTAATTTTCAATCAACACTAAAAAGAATAAATAAATTAAGAAACAAAGTTGTGAAATTATGAAAGAATAAGAATGATGAAGAATAAGATGAAAGAGAAATACTATTAATTATATAGTTATTTGAAAATGAAATAACAGAATGGAAAATACAATAAAAATAATAATAAAGATAGGTTGATAGAATGAAATATAGAATAAATTTCATTTTAATACATTTCAATTAATTCAAGGTTCAAGAATAGTATTTGATAATATTGAAGCATTTCGTATTTATAATAAAAATGATGATTGAAGAATAAATAATATAGTACACAATGACACATTCAGCATATTGAAAAGAGAAAGAAATAATGTAAGATATACAAATTATGATAAATAATTAAATAAAATAACAATAGAAGTTAACCGAATTGAATGTTAAAGTTAGAATTATTATTTACATCATTAGCACAATTTAATGTCAAAACAATACTCAAGCAATTATATTAAATTGTTTTTATAATTATACAACATTAACATTAGCTAATATTCAATTAACATATATCATTTTGATGGATATACACTTCTAAATGGTAATGTTAAGAATAGTTAAAGAAGAATGAAAGAAATATTAAGAATAGTTTAAAATATTGGGTAATAAAAACAATAATAAAAGAAGATTAGAATGAACAAATGATTAAAGACTGAATGAAGCATTTGAAATACGTTTGATAAAGATGATAGAACAAAAATTGAATAAATGTATGTGAATTAATATTAAGTGTAAATTATTTTAATCATTATATAATAATAATTATAAACAAATGATTTAACAATTATTTATATTCAGTGTCTATTATATATTCATTATATTTAATAACAACTTGTATTATTTATAATCAAAGTAATGAAATTCAGCAATATAGAGTCAACAAATAAAATCTATTTACAATTTCTTTTGTATTGAACTAACAATTAAAAAGGAAAATTACCACAAAATAGAATTATTATTTCTTTTCAAATAGAAATTGACTTTATGATATTATTCTTATTCTTTCATATGTGAATTATGATATATAGAATCATTAAAAAATAATCATTTAACAATCATATTTTAATTGAAATAATTTTTAATTACACAAAATAATATGAAACATCAAGAAAATTATGAAATAATCAATGAGTTACACTCACACAGTTTTAGAATCATTAACCATGTTTTATATGAAGAATGAGATTCAATTAATGAAACAAAACATAATTGTAAACATACATGAAACTGAAATTCTATCAAAAAGTCATTCAAACGTATATGAATAATACATGAAATCTAGTATTATTTAGAAGAACAACCATCAAAAAGATAAACAATTTTTAAAAAAAAAGTTTGAAAAAACAAAAAATAAACAATAACTAAAAAACAATTGAAATACACTTCATAGTTTACTAACATTTATTGAAGGTGATTATTATCATAGACATATTCTTATAAATAATTAATGACTTGTTTATACTTTATAAAAAAATAAATGAGGGTAATTCTTTATAAGAAGAACAATTGACTGATATTCAGAACAATGACAAAATGTAATATGTCATCCAATGATATGTCTAATAAACACAGATTGTTGTATTAACTATGAAATATATAATTTAATAATGATATGTCTTATTCATTTCATCTTTTTATTTAACAAAGTTCAATTTATCAAAACACAAATAAAACACATTAACACATTTAAATCACAATAAGAACAAAAACTATGAAATAAAGAAATTGAGTTAAACAGTGAATATACTATAAATAATATGATGATAAAGAAAACATCAAAACATAATATTCAAAGGAATAAGACACAACACGGATAAGAAAGAGTTAAAAGAAGAAAAAGACTAATAAGAGAATAAAAAGTAATATAAAGGAAAAGCACGAATGGCCGAGTGGTCTAAGGCGTCCGCTTTAGGCGCGGATATCGAAAGATGCGTGGGATCAAACCCCACTTCGTGCATTTTTTTTATTAAAATTAGAAGGTTATTCTAAAAATTTTTATTTTTATTTAAAATAATAGAAAATGGATAATACTCATTTTATTGTCAAATGATGTAATGATAAATAATTGATTAATAACAAGAAACAAGGATTAAAACAAGAATAAAAATTAATGAATATAATTGATATATATGAAAGAAATGACATGAATAGATATAAATTGAAATAAACAAGAAAGTCAAAATAAAAATGAAGAGAATAACCAACTAATTGTGTTGTAATATTCAATAGAAAATAATTGTATTATTAATTTAAATAATATTGTTTTCAATGATAAATATCAAATAATAAAATGAAATAACACAAAGAATAATAAAAGAATAAATTAAATATTATATAATGAAAAAATAATAATACAACATGACTAATTCAATATACTGTCTTTCTATTATTTGTTAAAGGTGTTACTTATTCTTCACTTTTATAACATTCTAATAATGAATAAACATATACATTAGTACAAATTGTATAATTATGTATTTCTTTCTTATCATTTTCTTTTATTTCATTATTCTATCAATTCAACATTAATTTTATTTTTTATCTTATTTGAATCATTCTGATTCTTTCTCTTTTTATTTAATTTTAAAGAAATTGATGAATGACAAGAAACATAACAAATAATATTAAAACAAATAATCAGAGCAAGAGAAATTCATATCAAACAATAAATATAAATGATAGAAGAATGTGTGAAATATGTATTATCTGTATTGACAGAATTATATTAATTATTACCATATGAATCATTATCATACTAACACTACATTGATAATATTGTTTATTTCATTCATTTTCATTATCATAAATATTTAACAACAATTTTAATAGAAACAAACAGTATTATCACAATAGAAATAAATATCAAAATAAAACACAAAGAAGATACAAACAATATCAAAACATAAATATTAAAAAATAGAAATAAGTATTAATAACAAAATTTTTAAGAATTTGATTTAATTGATTTTCATAATCCTCATCATTGTATTAATATTAATGAAATATTTCATACCTTCAATTAATGATTTAATTATTAATAATTAATCATTTCATGCAATAAAACATATATTACAAAAATATGAAAGAAATAAAGTATTAATAATATTGATATATTTCAATATAAGAATATAGAAATAAAATATATTCAT